CCCATCCATGAACCAACCTGGAAAAGGGACTTCGAGCTTGCAGAACACCAAGAATATGCTTCTATATAGGGGTCAACATTTCCTGCATAAAATGACTGGCCCTGGGCCCCGTATAAAATGTTTTTTTTAAGACCCCTAAAGTGACGATGAGGCCATCATTTTATAGTAAAAACAAAAATGACGATGTAGCCCTCATTTTGTAGAGATTTCGTACTGGTGGTTAAATGCATGGACTGCAATTTTGTACAGAAGCATCTTCTGATTTTGCACTCTCAAAGACCAGCCAGCCAACCAATTTGTAGAGAAGGATCGGAGGGTCGACGGGGTGTTGAGGAATTCAAGATAGAATTTGTATACAGGTTTGTTGTGTGTCGACCATTGAATTCGCACACCAAATCAAAATTATACAAATATGAAATCCTTGTACCTACTCCTATCTAGTATGACCCAGTCTCATCTTCTCCATTCTATTCTCCGAATCTCTTGGATCCCTCTTTGGGTTGAAGCATGTTGCAGCCTGCGTGATCCAGAGATTCTGTAAGTCGATGGTCCCTATTGTTGAGAGTGCCCTGGCTTAACAATATGACAACTCTTTGCATATTCCACCCAGTCTTTACAAAATTAATGTAAGCTATGCTTTGCTGTTTCCCCCTTTGCATCCATTACAAATTCTTGGTGCCCAACGCAGTCTAAAACCACTATGAAATCGTTGCGTCCATCGTGACTTTTCCAAACAAGCTGATGTGATCTTAACCTTTTGGTTTGTATGAAATGCTGGGACTCATCATCATTTCTTGGCTGGTAGGGCTCCAGCGTCTCCAGTACAAAATGCTTGGCTACATCCCCAGCATATTTGCTATATTTTCAACTTAAAATGTCCTCGAAACGCCAGATTCGTAGTATAAAAATCAATTTAGACATCTATTACGAATCAAGAGCCCATCAATCTATACAAAACCACTTTGTTTGCCCACCATTTTGTAAAGACCACCCTGTGTCCCGATGAAGTGTGTCTACAAAATTGGGGCCACATCGTCACACATGAAATTTCAACCGGGATGCTTCTATAGTTACTATTAGTTACTTATACTGTATTTTGTTTGTGCTGGTTTCTGAGATGATAATTCAAGAAAGCAACACACAGTCCAATGTCCATTGTGTTTGTTCTCCGTTTCATGTTTGGAAGACTGGTTTCTATCACTTGCTCTCAGTGCAATCGTCGCTCCATCCCACATTTGGGAAGCGCACTTCCTGCGTTCGCCTTCGCCGTGCAAAGCTCGCAGAAGTCGGTTGCAGCAGGCTCTTCAGCGCGGTGATGCGCTTGTTCAGCGAATGTGCAAGTTGATCCGCATGCGTGAGGAGTGCATCAGTGAGATTTGCAAGAGGGGTGAGAGTTATCGGCTTGATGCTGAGTGATGAAAGGTGCAGACAAAAGGGAGGACTGGTCTGTGCCTCCAAAGTCTCATGCCCTGACCGAAGTTCGTCAAGGGTGTTCTACAGTGTACAGCCCGGAAGATTGACATCACCTTTGAACATAGAAGACAAGCTTGTAGAGGAAGTGCAAGGGATCTAATTTCATCATCCACCAGAAGGTGACAGACGTACTGTTGAAAGAAGTCCCACATACAAGTGATACAATTAGTATCCCGGACAGGTATCCCTCGAACGAGCACGTGCATGACATTTCCCTTTGACCATAATGAGCCCTGGCACTAAGATGCCTTCCAAGCACATGGAGAAAGAGATCCAATAAATCAACAGCTATATACTGTACAAAGCGCAAGATTGAAGGATCAATCTCTGCTGGCTTAGAATTTCTTACATCAGCAATCATGTCATGTGTCTTTCTGTTTTCTCGCCTACCCTCAGGAGGTGCTGATGCGTCTGACATTGCTGCGGACTGCCTACAGTGATGAGGAGTTCCTTTCGCCAGGCAGAGTCGGGGCGTGTTGTGATGTGTTTGCAGAAACATGTGAAAAAAAAGTAGCTTTCAGTGTCGATGCTTCCGAATGCCTGCAGGTACGTGTTGTTGCAGTGTATTAGGAGCTTTGTGAAGACCTCGGGTGATTTTCAGGTGTTTCTTTCGGATCGCTTGCACAGCCAGGCTGAGATCAAGACAGCAATTGCATGCAGCCAATAACTAGATACCCCATTGTAGGACTGATTAGGACTGCATCGTTTTTACACAAATTCTGGCTTATAATAATAATACAGAACAGCGGCCACTTGTTGACTCCTGATATGACGAAGGGAAGACAACACTTGAATCATTTTTTCGGAAGAGCTGCTCTCACTTCAACAGAGATGAACACTGATACTGATAGTCATGCCAGCTGTTCGGTTGATAAAATACTACTAGTGAGACCCCTTTGGCATTTCCATTGCGGTGTGGGTGTAACTTATGGACAATTACGAGCAGTTTTGCGATGTGCCATCTACATATTTTAGAGGAACTTGGTAGGGCACACAATGCACACCCATCAGTCCCTTGCCTATGATTGGTTGGCACCAATCACTGAGCCCTCAAAAGTAGGCAAGTAGGTGTGGTGTACTTATTATGCTTGCGCGATCCTTTGTGTTTGTGTCGAGAGATACCGGATGCTTTTAATCCACTCCAACTGCCCAGCGTTGTGCTTCCCAGGCAGCCTTCCTCGGAAGCATTTGTACGAGCAGCTTGAGGACCCGGAGCGCGGGCACGAAGCGAGCGACGACCTAGCAGTATACGTATGAAATGCATAGAATCTGGTGGCCATGGAGGAAAGCAAAGTCTGAGGACTGGACGGTCTTTTCCTCTTCCAGAAACGTCGACTGGCAGGAAGATCGAACGATCGGAGGGCGACCATGCGAAGCTGAGTGGTGTTTACATCGCCGTGGAGGACGCGCAGAAAGACCCCTAATGCAGAGCGCGTGGTCGAAGCTCAGAAGGACTTGATACGCGACCAAATCTTGTCGCTCTACCCCCGGAGGTTGGGACAGAACGCAGCGCCCGCGCAACGCAACGCAGCTCCCGCGGTGTTCCAGACGGTCTGGCCGTGTCCACAAACTCCACGCGGTTGACCGGTCAGCCGCGGTGGCTGCTGAATGTGGATCGCCAAAAGCGGAAAAGAAGAGAAAGACATAAAGTATCAAAAAGCCTACAAGCTTGGTAAGATGTTGCAACAGGTCAATGGATGCAAACCCATGGCTACTCTGCAACAATCTACAAATTATGCCCTCGATATGGTTGGTTTATGTTGGTTTCACGTTTCAAGGTGGCTTCCCTTTTAAGCTTAATTTGTTGCCCAAAGATTCCAGCATATAAGTTCACTGTACTTCCGCAAAAGTAGACAACAATTGTATGTTGAAACATTTTAAATCCACCCACAAGTCCTTCAGCCGTTATCAGTCAAAAAGGCATGCAATGGTTGACAGATCCCAGAAATACCAGTTATGGAATGATATTGTTGTTTGCATTGATCCCTAAAACCACGCTGGGGCTGGCAAATATTCCATGCTTTATGTGGTTTGGGGATTGTTTCGTGCTGACTGAGACTAATGCACTCCTTCGCGGCGTCCAGGAGCTACGCCTATGCACCTTCCAATCCGTGGAGGTTTTAAGCCACCTGACAGCAGGTTTTCCGTAGTGGTCGGATGATTGGCTTCACCCTGGTGTCGGCCCTTCGGCAAGGCATCCAAAACCTGGGTCACGCATGGCCGTTCAGAATGAAGGACCGTTGGAGGACCTCAAAGAAAGGTTTTGTTTGAGTCGGAAGGCAGGCTCACGCATGTTGCTGCTGGCACCTGCCTGATCAATCACCAGGCCTAGCTTCCGGACAAGCACATGGTTTGACAATGTGCTTTCATGCTCGTAATGTGGAGGTCTCCGGCCCCCCTATCCCCTCCGTGACTTAATGAAAGGAGTGATTGTTGCAGGATTGCTTTTTCAGGGAAAGGAGAGGTTTGCATGAAGCCTCTGGCCTAAAGACAGCGATCGGTGAATCTTTGAACCAACCCTGAGGCTGCTTGGCTTGACACGAAATCGACCTGTTCAATGTGCAAAGAAGGGTGCCCAGGCGTTCCATTGCAGCCCTGACCCTGGATCATTCAGATCCCAACGTCGCTTCTGCCCACGATTAAGCTGTATATGTGACAACCTGTTTCTCAAGGTTTGTAATCCCATGGCTACCATCATCGTGCATCTCTCAAAACCCCAAGGTAGAACCAGTTTGGCTCGGCACAACATGTCTGAGATCACCAAAAGGAGACCAAGGGCAAAATTTGTGGTCCATAAACCTGGTGGATGAATACTTGCCAGTCGGGATGCCGAACGCCTCGTGCCCAGAAAAAAAGCACTCACCGAATTCTCCGAATGGGTCGAGCCTAAACCAGGTTGCCCAGGTTTGAACCACCCAACTCCAGGGAACTCCAGGCCCTGGCTGGGTAGACTGGTCGTCTTTCCCTTCTTCCAGCGGGGCGTTGCATGGGAGGTCTCCCTATATGAGCTACACACCCAGGTGGTTAGGTGCTCATGTTTCGCCGCCGGAGTGTTTTTCTCCACCACAGCTTCATCCAGGCAGCTGGCGTCGCTTTTTGAAGCGCCAGGCGCACGGCTCGAAGCGGGAAGAACGAGGTGAAAGGGCCAGTCGTGAACACGGGCGGTGGAACAAAAGGAACCTTGTCCCCCCGAGGTTGACAGAGGGGCAGTTTATGTAAGTGTTGTTCAATGTCAGGATGTAAATGGATATCATAGGATAGAGATGGATAGAGATATGTTTTCTATGTCAGAGTGGGAGAAGACTGCGAAGCATATTATACTGGTCTCCATGGGTGTCCAAAAATGGCAAGAAAGATGCAGAGGCCGATGATGAGAGACGATATGTGTTATTATGTGTTTCTTTTCCAGGGAAAACTTGGACACCACCAAACCCTCACAGGTCACAAAACAAAACATGGAACTTCACAGCTTTTTGTTGTCACAGCTCTATGCTTTGCCTCCGGTCCACTCCGGTCTGCCGCTCCAGGTGGACTCCTGCGTCGTTTGGCCCTACGACGGCCCCACCGGCGAGGTGGATCTGGAGACTCCGCCCGAACAGGCGCTGAGCGGAGCTCAGCGGAGCTGAGCGGAGCTGAGCGGAGCTGCGGAATCGGTCCGATGGTGCATGGACTTGAAGGTCGCAAGGACGAAAGGTCCGGAACACGAAACATGTTCCATGTTTAAACCCACATGTGGACCCATTCCACCATGTTTCAGATTCCATGGTTCCATTCTGTTTAAACCTATACATGTTCCATCTTCCTCCAAAGAAAACACCTTGGAAGTGGATGGAACTGGGAGAAGGCGAAGGAAACAGAGAAGGCGACGGTGTTTTGATATGTGTCCGATCCTTTTCTCTCAGGTGATTCACTGACCAAAGAATACCAAACATGGGTAGAGGGGAAACCAACTGGATCCTAGAGTTGTCCTGTAGACATTGAGACCTTGGGCGCTGAAGAACACGTATTGAACTTGTGATGTGTTACATCCAGTTGTCAGTTGGTCTATAATCTCCTAGCGCACGCATGTTCGAGCTCACCTATGAGAGAACACACACACACAAACATGAGCACCTCAAGGTCCACCAAATACACCCTGCCAAAAGCGACACTTTGTCAAGGTCCAGCAAATGCTGCGCCTGCCACGAAAGCTGGGTGTCAAGGTTTCGCAAAGTGCTGCGCATCACGCAGCCTTGCCAGGGCATTTTGCAAATCGAATGCTTCCAGTGACCACTTCGAGATGTCCAAAAGTCCAGTATAGTGAAGTATAGTGCACATGTCTTGACATTTGCACAACCAACTTATTGTCAGTGTTTGGGACGAAATGTCACACCCATGTCACACATGCGGGGAATCGGAGCGAGGAGGAACGATTCAGTGTGCCCACGGATTTGGCAAAATACGGTTTGTGCTTTTGATCTTGCAAATATTTAATGGAACTTCTGTTTCAGTGTTTCACTAGATTGTTTGCATTAAGATGGTCAGTGCTAAAATGTGGTGAGGTTGCCTTGAATCGCCTACCATGTCGGATGCAGGGTGATCTTTGTTGTGTTTATATTACAGCGGTGTAAAGTTAGTAAGAGTTTACTGTAAACTTTGGGGTGTTAGCGATCTACTTGTCATGTCATTCACTCAACTACACCAATGTGAAACGTCATGCATTGGATTTGGGTATTCTAAACCACTACAATGAGGCAGTCGCTATCCAGTTCATCCCATTTCAGTGCTTTGGCAATGGCAGGACTACCTCTTCCAAATCGCCGATGAGACAGTCCTCAGGGAGTTTGAGGCCGTGGTGGAACTCTCCCACGAGCCGGGCTGCCAATCCGGGGTTCGCCATTGAGGTACTTCTAAAGGCTCCAAAAAGAAGGCGAAGCTTAGCTCAAGCTGAGCCAGGTACAAGAGATGAGAAGCGTGTTTAATCCAAGCAACGACTCCCAGCAAGCAGGACGCTCAGCAGCCTACATCCGTCACCTCAGCAACCTGGATGCCCGAGGCGTGACCCATTCCTTCTCTACAAGTCTACCGGAGGCGCCGTAGATATCGCCACGCCGCTCGGGTGTGGAACATACCATGGGAAAGGAAGGAGTGAGTCGAGCTTTTTGCCAGAAGCATTTCATATCAAGTCCTATACCCCCTGCAGTCTTTGGTGCACAAACCGCGACGCCCATACAGTCTTTGGTGACGCATAGTGAAACATGAAATATGGATTTGTCATCCTCCAAGGACTCCTCACCCCCCTAAGTGAATTGGATGCAGTTCACCCTAATTCACACAGATCCAGAAAACGACCATGTGATCCATGTGATCCATCCCTCATGACGGATCCATTTACAGATCCAGTCTCGACTCCAACGCCAGGCCCTGGGTGGAAGGAGCCGGGCAGACTTTCTCCGCCGGCGGCCGGGCGGCCGCAGCGGCAGGGGAGCCGAGTCGAAGCCCGCAGCGACGAGCGGCGGGTGGAGAGGATCGGTCAACAGGTGTGGTGCGGTCAGCCGCCAAAAGAAGCGGGAGGTGCGTTTTGGTTGATGGTTCTCCTGTGATCCGTGCATATGAAACACCCCTCCCTATTTTTTTCCGGATTCCACCAAGGGGTGTATATAAGAGTTGGGTACCGGAGGTTGATGAAGTCCTAAACAAATCAGAGATGAAGCACATGTTTTCTTATAGCATGGGAAGAGGTGAGTCGGGGTATATCGAACAATAGTTCGAAGGCTGTAGGCTTGCCATTTTATTGCCCTTTTCTTCTTTTGGAAGTAATTGAACTTCATCAGAGTCAGATGCAAAAGGGGGCGGGAACATTTGCCATCCTTACTGTCAATCCAAATCGGGAGGAATTGACCTGCGCACAATAATATTACAGTACCATTCATTCCATATATATATATATAATCTTGATGGCTGACGGGTGCATCAAGTTGTGGCCATTGAAGAGACTGGAAGGAATTCCATACCAATATTGTGTGTTTGATGTTTTAGACACCAGAAACAAACATAATGAATATACATATATATATATATTGTATATAAATACAACTAGTATTGTATATATAAATTAAATATAATATATATATGTAGCCATATGTACAACTAGTTGTTGGTTGTTGTTTGCCTGGGATGGTCGAAATGTGCACGCTTCGTGTTTGCACTGATGCACCAAAGGTGATACCGAAGAGCTCCTACTTTTACCCCCAAGGTTATGTTCCTGCATGACCGTACAATGACAATGAGAGTCAGTGATAGACCCCAGCATGTCTATCACTCAAAAGCTCAGACGGTTGGACCAATGAAGTTCAAGATTCAAGCTGTTTAGCAGCTGTGTGGGCCATCCCAGGATTTGCTTCCATTTCAATGCATGGCCATACATATATATGTATATTGGAATTTGCTTCCATGCGTTGGAGTTGTCTTCACCGATAGTTTATTCACTTCGATCGTTGACCTTTGAAGTTTGTGTCACAAGCCATGCACACTCGCGATTCCAAAGTCTCCGTTGCCTCGATGCCTGGCCCGTTTGACGAGGTTCGAGAATGCACGTCTTCAGCTTATGGAAGATGAGATGGCCCTCTCCATGCTAATCTCTAGGCCGCACATGGAGATCACGGACAGATGACGCTCGGGAGGTTTTATCTTTTGCAGGAAGCTTGATGTTTTTTGAAAGTCAATGAAAGATCATGATCCCTGGAGGCTGGATGCAAAGGGACAAAGGCAACGCAGGTACTTTGACTGAAGCTGCGAAAATAAAGAAGCCAGCATCTATTGTCGGGCCTTTGCCTGAAATGCTTGTAGCTGTGCAACTGTTGTACGAGCTACACGCCAGCCCGGATTTGGGATGTTGATGAGTGTGACGAAACCAGTAGATTATGACCAACAAAAAACCTATATACAAGCTCCACGATTGATACTTTGGTGAGGCCTCATATGTTGCTTCTCAACCTATGAAGTCCATGTGAGTCCATGTGAAACCTAAACCTCGGCCACGCCAGGAGCGCCCAAGAGGCCCGCCAGGCCGAGGCCGCCGAGGCCGCCGAGGCCGAGGCCGAGGGCGGAGATGCGGAGAGCCCCACGGAGCCGAAGGCGCGAAGAAGCGGAGGTCGGAGAGAAGCCAAGGGTTTTTAGATGTTTCCCTTTCTCTCTCTATCTATCTATATGGTTTCTATGATTCATGGTTTCTTTTTTTTGAGACCATCTTTCTTTTTGTTGAATGGTTTCGGGTATACCCTTTGGCAATCTTTGGGATACATCCATGCCTTGTTGGGTGGAATTCAGACATGAATTCACCCATGCGGTCCCCTGGATCCGGGCCTGTGCCGCTGCTTCAAAGACAAAGGAATTGCAGTACTCCCGATGGCTGAATGGTTCACACCTGACCCTGCAAGCCTGGAAAACAGGCTGGCTAGGTTAGCATTTGATGCCTTGTTGCGAGCTGGAGGCGTCCGTGTTCAACTACAATGACAGTTTTTGACGGCGAACAACAGACCACTTGGTGCCCAAACTGGATCCTCATCCAACATGGTTTGCCCACCGGGGCAGTCTCATTTACCCTGAGCATCCGTGAAGCATTGTGAAGCTATTTTTCATGAAGGAGGTGGTTAGGAAAACAATAGGCTTGCACTGCAACTGGCGAAGCAATTGACGAAGCAGTTCCCTTCCACCATCTCGCCTGTCAGCCCAAACAGGTGGGTTGACCAGCAGTCCGGTTCAGCCCGGTTTCACAGTGGGTCAACAACGTTCCGCATTTGAACGTGCCCGGACAAGGCGCTCATGAAGCTCATCGCCAAGTTCCAAGAGGTTGGCCTTGAAAGGCGGGCGGATTTGTCTGGAGCTTCTTGTCCACTCTTGTCCACTTCTCGTGGAACGCTCGATCGCTCGGGAGGTCAGTTCTGAACCACGAAGTCAGACGAGCATGTTCGAAGTTGGTTTGATTTCGTTGTCACAATTGAGCTTGTCACAGTAGAGTACGCACCTAATCTGTATTGTACGACACTGCAAACATATTGAACATTGATGATCATTGATGTATGTTATGTACATAGAGACGTAGCTGCAGGCAAGACTCACATGCTGAACATGCAACATGGGCTCAATTCTTATATCGTACAACGCGTCGTACATCTACGCGGGTGCAACGCGTCGTCCACTTCCACGTCCACTTCCCTCCGCTTTTCAGCGTCCGCCTCGACGTCGAAAGACGAGGACCGCGAAGGTGGCACCGCACTGGTTGGCGCTGCTGAGGCGAGGCACATAGAGGCATAGCGAGGCTGTGAGTTCACGACCACAGAAATAAGTCACATAGGAGGTCATGTTGACCTCTTACAAGGAAATGAAAGCATCGGACCTGGGTTTGGTTCTGAGATGTTTTGACTTTGGGATATCTAAGAGGCGCAAAATTGATGACCGATGTATTTGGACGGCAAAATTGCAGAAGAGATTGCATGAAGAGTCACAACAGTCAAGGCTTGGTTTGCCCGATCCTTCGAAGCGGTCACGAAGAGTTGTCATTCCGCGTTGTTCGGCGTCTCAAGAGGGCTGAGGCTGATACGATGTGATACGATCATCCCACGCGAGAGAAAGACCGGCTGTTCAACATTTGGAGTGTCCTGGTTGTGACATGACGTGCGCCCAATTCTCCCTCATGCAGACAAGCTGGCTACACATGTCCTGCTACTCGCTTGAAACAAAGCAGGATGCTTTGTTCATTTTTCCTTCGGAATTGTCATGATTTGTCACGTCCATTCTTGGACGTCGGACGTATTGTTCCATGCAACATGATTTAATTATGCAGTTATCCTTAATCAACAAACCGCTTACTGCCTGGGCAGATCCCTTCCCGAATTGGTGCATGCATGAATCAATTTACTTGTATCTCAAATTTTGTGCTGTGTGTCTTGCATAATAATTGACATTGGCACGCGGAACCTACGCTAGAGTTAGTCCTAGAGTTTTATAGCACTGGGGAAGGTGGTGTCCCTTTTTGCTGGATTCACGTTTTCCATCGCATTCATGTATCATATATCCATTTATACCCACCACGAGTAGGTAGCAAATGGGAATAAGAGGGATGGGTGGGGAGCGCCTTGATTCATTAGCACAAGATGTGGGAGTCCCATATAATATATATATATATACACATTCAATTCCTTTGGGGAGGGATATGCGGGTTACCAAAAACACACGCTTCTATGGGCTTACTCACCTTGCTTGTCCATGTCCTGTTGGAACACTTTGTTGATTGACCAAAGTCCCCGTCACCCTAGTTACCCAGGTGGACTGACCAACGCAACCCAGAACGGACGAGAAGATGTGGAAACTCCCCTTGAAGGTGTATAAATGGTATAAAAGGTGTCATTTTGCGGGACCTTATAAAACATCCAACTTAGCTGCTGCCTGGTGAGGGGACTGTTGATCTGTTCTGTCCTCAAATGTTGGAGACGTAGAAGCCTGACAGAACGCCATTGCAAATTAGGTTTCATATTGCCATAGATTGACGATGATTGACACATAGTTCATGAACTAAAGAGCCCGGTGTCTCCGCCTTTCCACCACCAGCCTGGTTTGCAGGACGCCAACTCCTGCAACAGCAGAGGATGCTGCCGCTTGGAGCATTTCACCGAATGGTCCAAAGGGCTCGGAGGGTAGTCCATGAGGTGTTGCATTGACTTCCGTGTAGCTCTCCAAAATGTAGTAGATCTTTATAGCTTGTTTAGTGTAAGTGGTTTCTATGTATTTCTTTGTGCTTCTCTGTTGGGGTCTGACAATGAAGATCCTAGGCTGGATAGCAACATGTTGTGAAGCAGCGCACACCGGTCGCCGGCGGTGTGGACGGTGCTGGTCGGATCGGACATGATCGGAGTCGTCCGCCGTTGGTGGACGGAGCATGTGCTGTTCGGGGACCGGAACAGCACAAAAGAGCGATTTAGTTTAACCTAATTCTAATTTGTTACTACTAGTAAGGCACTTGTTCCTAGTAGCTTCTTGTTACTA